CGTTTCATATAAATTTAGACGAACATTTATTTTTCCGTGCAAATACATGATATGTATTCTTATACGAAATAAAATTGTACATACACTTGTATGTATTTAATAGCATTTCTATTATATTATTATTTAATAATTAAGCTGATTTATATTTAAATTCCATGGACAGGATCAAATTTTATTTAAATATTTATTTATTTATTTATATATTACTAGACGTCTGTACGTGTTCTTACGACTTTCTTAAGTATTAAGCTGCTGAGAGGTATTTGCTTTTGTTGTTTGCACATATAAAAATATTTTTAAAATATATTAATTATTATTAGTCGATATTTAATTAGACTCGTTTGCGAATACTTTGAATTTTTTTTATCTCCATCAGTTATGAACCTTTTGGTCTACCATGAAATGAAATTCCGAAATTTCGGACTCAATTTCGTGTTTTTGTTTTTACCAAAATCGGACCAATAAATGGAGTTTAACATTTCGTTCGTCATACATCCTATTATAAAAGTCCAAAGGAACGATATTTTAACATTTTTATATTTCTAAACGGCATGTGTTATGTAATTTTAACATCAAATTTGTGTTTCGTTTGGTTCCAAAATTTCGGAAAACGTTTCATAGTAGGCCCTCTGTTCACTGCTGAATATAGGCCTCCTCCATATGGGGGAGTTTGCTGTCACTGTCAGTAGCTCTCACGCTTGACAGGAGGGTTGATATTGACAACTGCAGTTGGGCTTTGGTGATGTTTTAGGAGGTACACTGCTCGTCCTTCCATTAATAAATTCTCTTAGTCGCCTCTAACGACACCAACGGTAAAGGAAAAGATGGCCTATGTTGTAATGTGTTTCCGAACGTAATGTTTCGGTGATCGGTCGTCCCTCGAACTGGAGACCGGTAGACAGCAGAGGTCGCCAGTTCGGGGGCCGACCACATACTCTTTTTTTGTTGCAGTATCCGGCCGTAGTACCTTTCTAGTGCTCCTCACATATTGCATCTAAATTGCGTCCACCATGTACCCTCTTGTATAGGCATTCCGTCACCCGTATCCAATAGCGAGGACGGGATGCCTTAGATACTGTACCGCAAACCATAAAAAAAAGAACGTAATGTTTTACTCTTTTCTGTGGTAACTAATCTATGATGATTATAAAGTGTGCTGTAAGAATTATAAGTATTATATTAATAATACATTATTAATAATTATTAAAAACTATTACAGTCCTATATTAATAAAGCATCTATTTACATACAACAGCCTATTCTATATCAGGACCATATGTTGTTTTTTTTTAATCTGCCAAATTTTGAAAGTTTGTTATTTACAAAGAAGATATTGTTAGAACCTAAAAAAATTATTCGTCTGTCTTTTTGTAACTTTTTTTATGTATATATACCTATAATATTAACAAAATGGGAAGAATTACTTGTTATATTCTCAGAATGATTAAACCAAATAAAATATTACACTGGAATGTTTCATTGATATATTTTTTTTTGTTAACAGTGTAACTGTATGTCAGGCTATCTGATGATAGTACTGTTTAATCAGGTGTTGACGAACTTGATGTTGTTGTATAAAATATAACACTAACGTACGTATACACAGTTTTATTGTCGACCATCTTTATTATTATTACACTTTGCTTGGGCACCTCTGTCCCATTCGTGTTTCAACCGTGAAGCAGTTGTGTTTGCATGGCTATTTTACGGTTTGAAGGGTGGGATATGGCAGTGGATTTATAGGGTACAGAGGAATAACACCTGAGTCCTCAGGAATGGTAACGCATGGGGGGTATCATTAGCGAAACAGTATACTCTGTTATGTCCATGATACTGCTCGTGTCTATAGGTGACGGTTATCACTTTCCATCCGGTGGGCCGTCCGCTTGTTTGCCATTCTAAGTTACATAAAAAAAAAACTTCAGTCAGCCAGTGATATTTAATTAATTTAATTATACAACCCTTGAAGAAATACCATTAAAATTCCAATCGTCTATTTGTATGAAGAGACTTGTAGACAGGCACATTTAAAACGTCATTTTTTATTAACCTACTGCAGCATTGGGAAAGGTGTTAAGTGTTGTAAACAACCCTCGAAAACTTACTTTTCTTCAATATCTGTTAATATTATGTGTATTTATTTATTATTTAAACATACTATGTCTAAAATTACATAGTCATTATAAAAGCTCGTGCACGATTGATTAACACTATCCACGTTTCTCATTTAAGTAATCCTTTAGCGAGTAATAGGCTTTGTTCAATAAGGGTTTCATAATAACAGTTTTACATTTATTAAAACGTAAATCCAAAATACCCTTTCATGCATCAGTCCACGTGTGACCACGGTATAAAGATAACCTTAGTTAAATAAAATTTGGCTAAATTGTTGCGTTCATTCCTGGTTTTTAAAGATCATAAAATATTTACCTTTTGAAAATGTTAACAACACATCACAAATGTATAATTTCTATAATTAAACTTTTGAAAAAAAGCAAAACAGTTGAGATGAAATTGTATTCTTAATCATAAAAAAATAACTAATCAAAAATGTTTTAACTTTTTAGTTTACTTGAACAAAAATTGTTCTTTCTTTTTTTCCTATCCTTTTTTCTTTGGTAAACGGATAAAAGATTACTATAATAATAATAATAATACTGTGAGTGCGATTACCTATTTAGTACAATTTATTTACAAAAAAAAATTTGGAAAACTGTGTGAAAAGGTGAGTACGTGTGTGTGTGCGTGCGTGCGTGCGTGCGTGCGTACGCGTGCGAGTGTATGAGTGTGTATGTGTGTGTGTGTGTGTGTGTGATATGACTAGCTGCCTACTAGAGGTCCATTTTATTACTTTGATTGTCTTATAAAATGTGCGAAGGGCGTGGCTGCACTTATCACTTATCTATAACGTTTTTGCACAATATCTGTATGTAGATTAACATTGACACGTATGAAGTGACGTCACATGTCCATATCTACAAATTTTGCTTGTGGACAACAATTTTTAACCGACTTAAAAAAAGAAGTAGTTGTTTAATTCAGAACGCCGTCATTTATAAATCGATTTTATAATAGTTTTTGTAATCGAAAGAGAATATTTTCCGATTGGTTTTATAGAAATTTCATCGAAATTGGTTTAGTAGTTTGGTTTTTAAATTAAATGGTTTTATCGCGATTGAAATCTTCTTGTTTTTCTTGAAACAATCATGGTTGATTCTAGAATTCGTCACGATGGGCTTTCATCCTCACCTATTATCTCTCACCAGCGTATACCGATAGCACAGGTGGAGTTACCATTCCCTTGTCATCTATTAAGAAAAATGCTGTAAAAATAAGGCACATTTTAAAATGATAATATGTAGGTATCCATCATTAATTTGCATGTCTTCCGATAATAAGACAAACATTTCTATTTTCATGATAAAAAAAAGAATGTTCTGTCAAATAAATATAATACACATCTGCCACAATATATGTTCGACAGAAGGATTAGATTTCTCTGGTTTTATCTAGAAATGTATCAAATAAGATGATAATAGGTAAAGCCAGATTCTGTTTTTTGAGTCTCTGAGGTTTTTAAAACGTTTGAAAATATTTCGTTTCACTGACTGCGATAAGTACTGTAATATTAGTATTTCCTTATCTTGGCTATTGAATTACTTTGATGTAATAGGATTAACTGTATATCTATGTAGTTTAATGTCATTGTGGTCGTGACAGAAATAGATTAGCCGGCAATTTAACTACATAATGTTGTAAGTATGAATAATATACAGCGTAATATGTATAATAGATAAATAATAAATACGGTTTTTTTTTATACAACTTAGAATGGCAAACACTCTGACGGCCCACCTGATGGAAAGTGGTAACCGTCGCCTATAGACATGAGCGGTACCATGGACATAACAGAGTATACTGTTTCGCCCATGTATCCCCCATCCGTTGCCATTCCTGAGGACTCAGGTGTTATTCCTCTGTACCCAGTAAATTCACGCCATATCCACCCACCAAGTTTTCCCAAGAGACTACAGCATGGGGTTCTTCAAAAGGGGGGTAAAGAGGTTTCTTCAGGGTCGGCAATGCGCGCATAAACCTCTGGTATTGCAGGCGTTCATAGGCTACGGTAACTGCTTACCATCAGATGGGTCGTATGCTTGTTTGCTACCTCAGTGGTATAAAAAAAAAACATAATCGACTTAACAATCTTTCTTGCTATTTTTATACAGAGTAAACTAGAACTAGATCTGCAAGGCTGTCGTGTTGGCATTATATTATTTTATATATTTTATTTATCAGTGAGCATTCTAACTGATGTTGAAACTTGAAATGCCAAGTATTGTTTTACGGATTTCGTTTTGCAATTGTTGACTAATGCGACGCATTGTTCCACAAAACTGGTATGTCTTTGACCGAAAAACATTAGGGCCGACGGCGTCCATTGACCGAAAAGGTTTAGCCCAACTCTTGAGCAGATAATTTCCGTAAACGAGCGAACATGATGTTGAGTAGACGGCGTTTTGTTCCAGCATCGTATTTATTGCCCTTTTAACCGCGGGGAAAGGGATTGTTAGCAATGGAGTTTGAAACGAAAGTGTTACTAAAGCGGTCTAAAAGTCTTCTTATGGATTCGTCACTATGGGCTGACCTGCTTTTATCTTCTTATATCATTTCTCACTGGTGACTCTCTAGTGTATATCGATAGCGCAAGCGGGGTTACTATTCCATTTTCGCCCATTAAAAATCTTTTTTAATCGATTAGCTAAAATTGTAAAGAAGTACCATAATGCAATAGAGACGAGCACTAAGAAAATGTTTTTGAAAGAAGAGACTTGATAAAAAAGTCGTCAATGTGTACACAGAATTTTATTGCATGATCAGTTTAGTTGGTTTTAGATCAGAAGGAAGTGCATAGTTAAAGAAAAAATGAGTAAGCAGCCTCATTTGAATAGGTACATATGTGTGATTATACTTATATTTATTGTTTATTACCTGCGCAGGAGTCGCCAGAGGTCCGCATGGCACTGCCGTTGCCGCCGCGGGCGCCCGATCCTGCCGCACTCGCCGCCTACTGGAACGAGTACGAGGAGTACCTCTGCAGGCAGAACAACTCCGGACAGCATCTCGACGATGAGGACAACCATTACGAAGGTAGGTCTATTATTAAATACTCGGTTATCGTCGGTTACCCACTAGATGGAGCGACGACTTCATATGTATTGCAGGGAGCTGTTCCTTATGGTAGTCTAGAGAAAGGTCTATGTTCAGCAGTGGTCAGTTAACGGCTGAATGATGATGATGATGATGACACGGTTAAATCATAATTATGATTATCATTTCTACGACTAAGCGGCATTTCGTCCGATCAAGCACAAAATTTTGTACCGCTTGCACAGGCGTTTTAGACGAGAGACAATTTTCTGCATATATTTTAGCGATAATAACCCCTGAAGTTGGGAGGAAGGGATTATAAGACATGGGGTTTTGTGGCCCCATTGCTAGCAATATACTCTATCAGGTCGACTTTTGCGCGGTTCTCTCTGGAAACCATCGTGGTGAATTCTTGTTACATTCGTCACGACGTGCTAACTTATATGCTTTCATTATCACCTACCATTCCTCACTGGTACATATATATTGCTATAGGGGTATTTTACTAATGAAACTGTACATTTTACCCAACGACGAACAGATTTAATCTCTCATATTAATATTGCATGTCCAATCCACTGTCAACCAATTAAATTACTCTTATCAAATCTCTTATGTATTATTCTAGGAGAAAATAAATGTAGAACTATTTTATTACAATTTATGTATGTGTGAACACCTTTATTTGTCTATGGGAACAACTGCTTAACGTCGAGCAGGAAGATAACGATTATAAGGGTAAATATATTCCCACAATTTGTCTCGCATCGCTTAACTGGGAACCGACCAATAGCTGTGTTACATTCTCCAACGTCTAGCATTGTAACACCTTACGAGTATATTATATGCTGATGTAATGCATTTCACAATTACCAATATGGTTTCAACATTTATAAACGTCCATTGGATTGATCAACGGTCACACTTGGCACGCCATTAAATACTGGCACCCATTAAGCCATAATGCTTGTTGCTCTGATTTTTTTTACTAGTCATGACATGGCATAGACAATAATGTATTGCTCGTTAAATTACGCGTAATGATTTTTTAATTTTATTTGATTCGACGCAAGTTACCGTTGATTTCGAGTTGGTGCGTAAAACTATATTGGTAATGTTACTGTATAGTAATGATGTAATGATTCTCTGTCAATAGAAACCTGTATTTAAAAAATGTAAGGAAATTCACCAAATCATTCATAATCCAGGTAATACGTATAGATAGATTAATAAATAATTTCAATTTTTTTTTATACAACTTAGAATGGCAAACAAGCTGACGGTCCACCTGATAGAAAGTGGTAACCGTTGCCTATAGACATGAGCAGTACCATGGACATAACAGAGTATACTGTTTTGCTCAAGATACCCCCCATGCGTTGCCATTCCTGAGGACTCATTGTGTGTTATTCCTCTGTACCCAGTAAATTCACGCCATATCCCACCCTTCAAACCGTAACACAGCCATGCAAACACAACTGCTTCATAATTGAAACACGAATGGGACAGAGGTGCCCAAGCAATCGACTTTTGTACAAAGTCTCCCTCTGGTATTTTATCCCATTAACAGTCCCTTTCCCCACCGTATATTAATGTCGTCTTTAAAAAATTTGCTCCCATTATTTTAGTATCGGGGGTCTTTTACTTGCTTTGAGTTTTTACAATTCCGGGGCCTGGGTGATTGTAAAATTGTAAAATCTCCATTGTAAAATCTTAGAGGAATGAGTAAATTTATGGAGAGTGTAATAAGGTAATTTATTACCTACATATTTGTGGAGAGAATGTTAAGCATACGAGTATACAGTAATGAAAGTAGGTACTATTTTTTTAACACTTTGACATCACTGACAATTCTATACATTTTTGAATCAGTTCCACTTAATAAACGGTCAATATGACAAAGTACATACAATTTGAATGTAAAAGTATTTAGATATGTGTATGTAAGTGGTAAGGTTATTTCACACCTCGCCGTTATACCGGGTGTGTCCAAATATGCTTCGAAGAGTTGTCCAATGTTCGATCAGGTTGTACGATTGCCCATCAAGGCCGCCCACCGTACAAATGTCACTGGTTTTCCGTATGTTGATGGGGTTCCACAAGGTGTTTTTAATAAATATCCATATTAAATATATCCCGTGGTTTTACACACATTGATTGTGTTGGGATGGAACGTGTTCTCTATGCGTTATTTCAAAATGTGTGTATCAAATTTCATTTGAATTGAAATGAAATGAGATTTATTTGTAAAAACATAACTGTAGTTTCTTAAGTTAACTAGATAGATAGATAAATAATTTATTTGCATTACTTATAGCACACAAACAGCAATAGACTTAAATGCACAGTGAAAAAAGATAAAAAAAGATACATGTAAAAAAAATAAATAAAAACAAAAACAAAATGCATAAAATTAGTAAAAAAAAATTCCCTTCATGCGTGTGCCACAGTAACACAAAATGGTCGCAATTCAGCTTATTGCTTTGCCCTAAAAAGAGCAAAACACTGATATTCTATCGATTGCTTGGGTACCTCTGCCCCATTCGTGTTTCAACCGTGAAGCAGCTGTGTTTGCATGCCTGTGTTTCTGTTTGAAGGGTGGGAATATGGCGTGAATTTACTGGTTACAGAGGAATAACACCTGAGTCCTCAGCAATGGCAACGCATGGAGGGTATCATGGGCGAAACAGTACACTCTGTTATGTCCGTGGTACTGCTCATGTCTATAGGCGACGGTTACCACTTTCAATCAGGTGGACCGTCAGCTTGTTTGCCATTCTAAGTTGTATAAAAAAAAATTCGTTCTGTTATTTAATTATTGAGTAACGAATATCTAAAAACTACATAGTATAAAAAAAGTCGCTTCCCGTCTGTCTGTCCCTATGTATGCTTAGATCTTTAAAACTACGCAACGGATTTTCATGTGATTTTTTTAATAGATAGAGTGATTCAAGAGGCAGGTTTATATGTATAATACATGCATAATATAGTAGAGAAACACTGATAATTTTAGGTTTCTAATGTGATGTAATGTGCACCCGTGCGAAGCCGGGGCTAGTCGCTAGTATATTGGTAATGTGATAATTATGTTGAAGTGGCAAAAGTTAGTAGTGGCTTCTTTATAAATGTTATTTATTTTAGCAAATACCTGCAAATTTGTTTGCGTATCTGCGACGAAGATTTAGTATATCAAATATTTTGATTCATACAGAATTTCATGATTGGAGTCATTAATGCACTTAGAGGTAACATAATGACACTTTCATATTTATAAGTTAGGAATTGTTTTTGATAATACAGAAGTAATCTAATTTTAAAGAAGTACCTGTTATGTAATCTAATTTTAAAGAAGTACCTGTTATGGCAACAATAGAATATTTTAAATATTACTATTGTCTATGGTATTGCTTTAGCACAGATAATATAATACTGTAGTTGTAGCTGTAGAACTATTATTACAGAAATTACTTGAACGAAGTAATTTCTGTCCCTTGGTCCTATCGCAAAAGACCTCGCCTTAAATGGCGAGTGAGCATATTAATTGGATTGATTGAATGTACATACATATTTATTAGAAAACATTAATTAACAATTAATTAGCTTTAAATTTTTATTAAAAAAGAATATTCAAATAAACTGAATTATAACTATTTTTAAATAGTCCTTTTTATGGTCCTATTGCCTAGCTCGCTTTTCAGTTGAGAAAAACGGCCAGGAAAATTAGCTGTTGTTTTTTTTAAACAAAGTGAGATTGCGAGAAGAAAAAGTTATAATATATTGAATAATGAAGTACCGCATTTGTAATTCATTGTTCATCCCAAAGGTTGACTGGTGTATGGTATAGAATATGGTAGGTCACGGTGATGGCAAGAAAACGAAGACTTTTGCAATTGGATTTTATTTTCGTTAATTACAGGTAATAAATAGACGTGTGGTGTCGATCGTATCTAGGTGCAGACTGGGCGTGGCGTCCGTTGCGCCGATTATAAGTTTAAAAACGACCGCACGCATAGACAATGACATAGACAAACTATTTTATTAATAATTGAGTTTTGAGGCACAGAACGCGTCGCTTACAACTGGTAGACAATGCTGTTAGCATTAAGTCCGCCTTTTGTACCATATTTTCTTTTGGCCAATAAAGTTATTTAAATAAATAAACATTACCATCGCAATACTTGCAAAAACTGATTTTAATTTCACTAATGTGATTAATTAGTTAAATTCTCACGCAATGTTATTGTTTGTTGTATCTCTGCGGCACGCTAACACGATTTTACAAATGCGGATAGCATTGTAAGCAAACTATTGTTTTTGTTAAATCCAACGATTCCGCTAAATATACTGACTCATATGTTTTTATTACTGGTAAAGGCAAAAAGTTGACAGCCCACCTGGTGGTAGGTGAGTGGTAAACGCCGTCTATAGACAAACATGACTGTCCTTATTGATAGTTATAAATAAATAACATATTTATGTCTCGGTATTTCAATTAATATTTATACTTTTTAGGTTTTTTAATGTCCAATTATGGTGAAATATGTGGATTTATACCTATTGTTTGAAGTATATATATTTACCTTGTTTCTTGTAAATAAACTATAAAAATACATATATATATATATATATATAATATCGCGTTTTGCTACCAATATTATATAAATAAATGTAGGTATGTTATATGTATAATAATATTAATAAAGTAATAAATATAATTTTCGTTTTTAAGAAAAAATAAATTTATATTTTTCATCTTTCACGACGAGAATGTTCTAAAGTTATAGATAATGGCGTGAGGAAGAGCTAAAAAGAGATGGATGAAACAAGTAAGAAAGTCTGTGGTCGTACGGTGTTGAATAGCCACTCTCAGGAAATGAGATATCAGATGCAAAAATAATTTTTCAAATCTGACTAGTAGTTGCAGAGATTAGTGCGTTCAAACAAACTATTCTGCTTTATTATATACTAGCGGCCCGTCCCAGCTTCGCACGGGTGGACAT